ACGAGAATTTTTCAGCGAATAGCTTGATGTAGATTTGATTATTTGACTCGGACTGAACCATTTTGAAAAAGAATCGACCGTAGCAGATCAAGGGTTTTTTTGTTTGTTTGTTTGTTTTTTTCATTTTTCCCAAAATCGCAATTTGAAAACATTCTACTACACTGCGACGTCGATTTCAATTCGATAACCTCTTCTGCCCTATACGTTCATTTTTCCCAAAATCGCAATTTGAAAACATTCTGCTACATTGCGACGTCGAGTTCAATTCGATAACTTCTTCTGCCCTATACAACACTCCTGTGAGGTAAGGCATCGTTCGTAATTTTTTTGAATGGTAATGTTGACCTACAACAGAGCAGATCCATAATCTCACTGGAGGGTGATCATCGTATCGTATCGTGTGACTCCGTCATTTTTCGTTTCGGTTATCAATGACGGAGCAGCTGAAATGTGGACCCCTCAGTCGCTGAAACATTCATCACGCGCACCTCTGGAAGATTGACCGCGTGGACTGAATGCAGTCACCTGTGATCCCCGTGATTAATATTTCAAAAAGGGTCCTGATAAGCAGACAGGACACGGAGAATAAACTTGGCGAGTACTGGATAATTTATGATCGAAAGGCAATGCTCAGCCTGTAATCGTGTGATTGCGGAGAAGCAAGCCAAAAAAAGGTTTTCCTCGCCCTGTTCGTTTTTTTCTTTTTTTTTTTTTTTTTTTTTTTAATCACACTGAATAACAGCGACATCATTCACACTCATTAAAAAAGAAAACAAGTGTTGGGAGAGCGATTATACTGCAGACTTGACTTTTAAGCACCGGCGTGGCCTCGAAGCACCAATCAGATGATGCCGATGTCACGTCTGTCTTTGTAGAGCGAACTGTGTTTTGCTAAGTCGCAGTTTGTTTGCGTTCTACACCCACCTGCAAAAGGTGAAGTGGCATTTTCATCACTTCATTTCATTCATGAGGAAAAATGATTTGAAATGTGTGTTTTTTTTTTTTTTTTTTTTAACTAGCGTGAGCCTTGTCTCATATTACATAAATATTCTTCCAGGGTTCATATTTTTTATTTTTTTAAGTAGAAACAATGGAAAATCAGAGTTTAAAAAAATGAGGGTGGGGTGAAATGAAGGAAACATGACTTGATTTAAGCAAATTATACTCATCAGTAAATTTTTACCCATTTATTTCATTGAGATGCATGTCAACTTTTTTTAGATTATTTTTTCGGATTTGCCCTTGTTTTTTTTTTTCAAACTTAAAAAAAACAACAACAAAATGAAGGAGCCAGATGGACGAGGAAAAAAAAAAGTCAAGACATATTTTAAATCAGCGTCAAAAATACATTAAGGGAGACAGAAAATTTGACAGGTAAACATCATGGGCCTAAAAAACTCCCGGGGATGTCTGAACTAGTATAATCACACGACGGAACCCAATCACATTTTCGGATAAAGATACCCGTAACCAATAAGAACATTTCAATAAGCAGATATAATTTTTAAAGGCATTGTAACAGTCATCAGACGCTAACGCAAAGCTAATCCGTGATCCCAATAGCATTTCGGCACTGTATTAGCGGTAACTTTTAATTCGATGACCCCAAACCTGAATGGCTTGCTGACAGCTCACCCCAAAAAAAAATAAATGGACTGGGTTTTTGTAATTTCACACTTGATGTGTGGGCGGACACTCCAGGAACCCCGAAATGTGTATCCAAGCAATTAAAAAGTCACTTTCCCCCCGCTTTAAAGCAAAGTAACGACTTGTTTTGATGGGCCCGTGAGTGCGTTTGCTCTGCCGTAATCAAAATGACTGCGACGGTTGCGCTCTAAACGGGGAAGAAGAAATCCGCCCGTGGACACTTGTGACAGCAATCGTTAAAGATACATCAAGCATGTTTTCAGTGGTCGTTTTGCTGTGTTGACGGCAGGTATAAAAATGTCAAAAAGTGCGCTTATGATGTTGGAAGCGTGGAGAAAATCAATATTTGACAGGGAATGATGTAGTATTTTCCACGCTGGCCCAAGCCGATGCCCGCCATCCATCAGCGATTTACTTACGCTGATGGATGCATCTTTATGCTCTCCGTATCTGTGACTGTGAATGCGTGCGACTTTAAATCTGGCGAAACTGTATATCACATTAGCTTTTGAACTTTTTTTTCATGGAACATATCGGTCCTATATTTCAAAAATCTCCATGCACACGACTGCTATTGCGCAATCACATTTAATACTACGGATTTGACTGGATGTTAAGATTGGGATTGGAAAAAACTCCTTCCGTTTATTCATCTGCTCGCAAATGGGCAAAATTGCTCCGCGCTGGGCATCTCCCAGAGGCTTCACTTTCAAGCAAAGGCGTCTCTTCAAAACGGATGGCTCCCGGAGGCAGTTCCGCAGCATTTCAGTGGAAGGGAAATTGGTTTCCAGTGGTCTTTGATGCCCCTCGCCGCCGTGTTTGGACGCCCCCCCCCCCGCCCCCCTCCCGCTGAGACTCCATTTTTGCCGTCACGAATGCATTGACTGTTAATTTGGGCCAATCGTACCGGTTCTCGTTACAAAAGGCAGATTATTACCAACATGGGCTCACTTTCCGCCGTACTTTGAATGAGCTTATCTTGGGAATGATGCGCCAGAATTAATTTCATTCGCAGCAAAGGGGACGTTGGGCGCATGTGAAACGAGGTTTGCGGAAAAGGGGAAATAACAAAAGCAACCAAGTGGGTTGATAATCAAAGCACTTTTCAAATACAGTGGTGCCTTGAGATGAAGTTTTGTTTGTTCCAGATCATCTTTCCCCATTGAAAAGAATGGAAAGGCTATTAATCCGTTCCAGCCGCCTCCCAAAACATTTTTCATGGCAGTCCATAGTATTGTAAAACATACCATAGTTACACAATTATAGAGAATGTATATTTACAGACAAATGTTTTTTTTTCCCACATTTTTTTTTTGCTTCAATTCAATGGTCAACTCCTGCTGGAAATATGCCTTAAAAGCCACACAAAATGTGTAGTTTAAAACCATGTATCAGCGGACCACCCATGGCAAACAGTGCAAATAGATGCACAAAAATATTTTTTTATGAACCGATGGGTGAATCAGTAGAATATGCGATTCTCAAAAAAAATCGAATTCAACAGCTGCCACCCAACAGCAGTACAAACTACCATCACGAGTTTTACTTTTCCGTTGGCTTATTTTGTGGATGGCGCAAACGAAGATTTGCCAGCAATTCATTTTATTCACATCGGCGAGTCTGATGGGCACATTTCAACAGAAAAGTGGCCAAAAAAAAAAATCTATGAAATGCGTAATCAATTCCACGCAAGCTTCCAATTTACAGATTGCGGACCATCTCCCCACCCGGTGATCAAATTGTCGACAATCGCCAAGCACTCGTCCGCCCTCATCGGTTGCAAATTGAAACAACCAACGCGACGCTTGTGGGCCTTTTCATTAATTTGCCGCTCGCGCGACTCGGATCGGAGGGTGCGCGCCGAGGAATAAATTCCCAACCCCTATAAACTCGAGCACAGCAGTCACGTTTGCTCTGTAAAAATAGATTTGGGGGCTGGAGGATTGCTTTGTAATTGTACCCGAGTTAAAGTTTCTTTGGATATTCCAGGCCATTAGCGCCGTCACGCTGCTGATCAAAGCCACGCTAGCTAATGGAGGCGATGCAGCGAGAGGATTAACGGTGAACAAAGAGGATCATCTTTTTCCTCTCTACCTTCTTCAGCAAAATTTTCCTCCCGTCTTGTTATTGTCGGACGAGGCGAGCAGCGCGGAATACGTCACGCCGGCGGCTTCGATTTGGGTTTAATCAGCGAGCGCCGGGCGAAGGGGTGGAACCTGTTGCCGTCGCGCGATATCGCCTTCAGGGAAAGTAGCGACTTTGCTCATTGAGTTCTTGCCCGTGGATCGCTAACTTTTCTTTTCGAATGTACTTTTGAGGCAGATATTTCAGAATGTCGTGGACCACATCATGGAACCAACCTCGAGCCAAAAAAAAAAAAAAAAAAAACCCAAAATGATCCAATCCCGCTGGAGGCAAAATCAAGCTAACGACACGCTAGCTGGATTCGCTCGATGAGCTGGATTGAAGCGCGCGCGTCACCCATAATGGACGATGGCCACGTGCGGCGTCCCCGGACTTAATTAAAGCCCAAGAGGACATTGATTGACCAGCAAGTTCCAATCGATTGATTCAAGTTCCAGTCGATAAAGACCGCGCGATTTTCTCGCCAGGGCGTGAACCGCCCATCAGTAGTGTGGTGAATCCCATCGACTCGGCTGTCCAATAGAAGACGAGGACTCGAGAAGACTTTTTTCTAACTGCCCGTGAGCGCCGTTTGCCTCGAGTCATCTGATAAGCGAACAACAATGAGCCTGTTTGTCTGCGGCCTCGTGCGTTGGAATATCCCTGGCCCGGAATTCTCGTTTTGGCTCCCTGGGGGCCCGCCGCATAGCTTGTTGTGTTTGTTGTTGTCAGTCCCATGACTCGCGTTTCGTCTTCGGGCATTTCCTTAATTGATCCCTGACATCTTCCTTTACATCGCCGCTTCGTTCGTATCTGCGCTACGTCATGATTCTCTCACGCTCGGAAATGCAAACGTATCTATAAAAAGAACCAACGTTAGAGCGCTCACATGCAATGTCACGCGAGCAGAGTGAAGACAGCGAATGCCACAATTGTTTCTTCCCGATAAAGCTAATGTTGTGAGACGTGCTAATGTAAAGAGCCGCTCTCAATCAGGGCCGCGCTTTATAGGCGCTATTAAAATCACTATTAAAATCACTCTCCGCTTTACGTAATGAAAGTCATTAACCAGCGCACCCTTGGCGGGAAGAGAATTCACCGATTCCTGACCAAACAGGATCCCAGCGTGGCTGACCTCATTTACTTCGCACCACCGAGTTCAGATGGTCGCGATTGTCGACTGATCCGCTTTTCTGTTTCTCCCCCCCCACACCCCCCCCCACTACCAGGATTACTGAAAGAGACGTTCATCAAGGAGCCAGACGGACTGGTGTCGGTCAACCTGCTGGTGGTGTCGGCCGTTTCGGCTTTCGCCACGGGCGCGCTCTTCTCCGGTCTCGCCGTCTGTTGGATCATGAGTCACCGCCACCGCCACGGCCGAGGAGCCGGCGCCAAAGGGGCCCGCCGCAAGAGCGACAAGGAGCAAAGCATGCTCGGGCCGGGCCGCAGCGGCTCGGTGATGAGCGTGACCAGGACCAGCGGCGGCGAGCGGCGCGACTCTCAGGTGGACAACCCGTTTGTCACGGCCAACGGATGGCCCAAAGGAGACGTGGATCCGGGCTTGCTGCCCACCCCCGAGCAGACGCCGCTGCAGCAGAAACGTGTCATGCGTCTGCCCGACGCCGACTGGGACCCGAGCCAGACCTTCCTCACGGCCCTCGGCTCCCCTTGCCCCAACAACTCGGTCATCTACCTGAGCTCCAAGTTCCTGCAGGGAGGCGGAGGCGGCGGAGGGATGGTCCGGATCGACGAGCCGGGCGAGGTTCTGTTGCCCCCGCATGCCGAGCGCCAACGCTACCTGATCCTTTCCGCCCAGCGGGGCGGGAACGGCGGCGGCGGCGGCCGTCCGGCGGGCCCCCTGAGGTGGTCTCGGCGCCCACTCCCCACATGGACTACGGGGAGCCTCGCTGGAGCCACGAGGCGCTCAACTACAACGGCAACAACGGCGTGTCGTACCACCCCCAGCGCCAGGGGCTCATCCGGCCGGAAATGCACGGCCATCGAGGGGGGCTCGGACAGCTGGCCGACTACAGCCACCTTCTCGTAAAGAGCGAGCGAACCCCTAGTGGCCAGTGAGGGAACTGAAAGCTCTCTGACCGACCCGTTCCCTGCGGCAACTGGAAGAAAATACTCCGCCCCCCCTCGCCCCCTCCCCCTCTACAACCACAACCACCCCTTTACTTTCCCTGCCTGCCCCTTCTCGGCGTCATTCAACGTTCTGATGTCATTCAGCTGACTGAAGGAGAGAGAAGCGAAGCAAAAGGGACACTTGAACTCAAAGGTGCCCTTTCCTCCGCTGTTTGACGCAATTCTCGCTCCGCCGGCACGACAACCGGCGGGAGCGTCGGACGCAGTTGTGGTGAGGAGTCGGGGTGCTTAAGGAAGCGGAATCTCGGGGTAAAACGACAGCGTGGAGACAATGATGGACAGTTTGGACTTGCAGAGGCACAATTGGGGATGCCTCCCTTCGCCACCGTGTAAATTTTAGTTTGTGGTTTTCGTGCTTTTCTTGCCCCTCGCCTCGTCCACACTTTGGCAACTGTCGCCGTGGAATACGGCAGGCGTGCGTGTGTTTGTGTACGCAAAGTGTGTTTGTGTGTGTGTGCGTAAATGTTTTCGGGGTTGAACCGATTAGGCGGCAAATTTACCGCTCTGCCCAAATGCGTTTGAAGCTTCAAGTCAGTGAATCGGCAACTCTCCACCGAAAGCAGCGCTTGGTGGTTCCGAGCAGCGGGCCTCAAACGTTTGGAATGTTTTACGAGACTGGCAACGCGGTCAACCACAAGCGGTGCTAGTCTTTGAACGGCCATGTGACCGGGCACCCGCTAACGCTAGCTGCCGAGCAATCCACGGAACACAGAAAAGAGAGACTCGGGGCGAGCGAATTAGCATTCTCTTTAGCATGAAAATGAACGGTGAACGTCGGCCGTAATCACGCCAAAACCCGACAGTGTTACGCTCCAGCGCGCGTAGCGAGTTGGCGTCTTCGCTTAGTTGACGTTGTGTTTACATGTGAGTAGCATGTGAGTACCCTCTGACGTTTCAAATGAAGGAGGGACGTTTGGCTACATCAACAATTCAATCCCGACTCGCTTGCTGCATGTTCTGAACTCCCGCTTCCATGTCAGCAATGTAGAAGCGGTCATCGTGCCAAAGTTACGGCTGCAGCTCAACTTCCTTTGCTATTTAAACTGCGCAATAGTGTCGAGCGAATCAGCGATGCCGTCTTTGTTTCGAGACATCGGTCGTCAACAATTTTTCCCACACAAACGAATTCTTGGCAATCGCTTCATGGAATCATCTGTTTTGATTATGCCCCTCCCAGGGAAGAGGTAAACATTGCGCCCCCTTGCTATGAGCCATCAGGGTGAGCTTGTCATGCCCATTGAAAAGCTTCAAATGCGCCAAGGAGAGCAAGAATGAGGAAAAATAAAACCAAAAAAAAAAAGATTTTCCAATCTCGGTTTCCCAAAAAACGGACAAAGCCTCCTTTCCCCCCTCCGCGTCTCGTCTGACCTGACCTTCAGCGTCGCGAACGTGAGCCGCGGCCGTCCGGTGCCGTCTGACTCAGGCTGCTCGGGAGCTCCATTCAGGCCGCTCGTTGCCAACACTGAGCCTCTTTGTGCGCTAACAAATAGCCGTTAAGAGTCAGCGAGCGCCACTCCCGGAATATCAATGAGGACGGGCAAGCCGATCCATCCGTCTTGGGAGATAAGACAGGACGTAGCCCAGCCAGCGGTGGCCTAAACAATATCTGAAGCACTGATCTCCATTTGCAACCGAATATCTGTTCAATGAATTCCCCTTCCATCTCGTCTCTTCATTTGATTGCGTTTCTCTTCACTGACCTCCTTCTGGTACGCGCAGGTGGATTTTACCCACTCAGATTTCAGCCTCTGTGTTGCCATGTCTAGTATCGAATCTGCCAAGGGAATTTCTGAAAAAGCCACGCCGGTCCATGAAACTTAAAACAACAGCGGTGCCTTGAGATATGAGTGATTGACTCTGCGACCATGTTCTCAAATCATTTTTTTCCTTTTGAAATGAATTCAAATTCAATGAATCCTTTCCAGTCCCGCCCAAAGCACTTTTGTTTTGTTTTGTTTTTTCCATAAGGAAAAATTCACTCAACAGTATTGTCCTGTATAAAAACACAGAAATAACATTTGCTCTTGACCTACTGGAACTAAAACACACGGAAAATGCGAGCGTAAACCAACAATGTACCTAATGAAATGTCCTTGTTCTTCCTCTCTGGGGTCGATTGGCAATTGAAGACAAATCTTTGAATAGCACTCGGAGATAAACCTTAAAAAGAGAACATTTATAAGCGCATTCTTACCAGTAGCGCTTATCTCAGACTTATTGGTACAACCGTGCGCAACACACGTTGGCATTTTTGCCACGGAGAGAGAAAATCACATGAAAACGCTGCGGAGAAATCAAAAGTATTCAAGTTCGGTGAGCTTCGCGAGTGGCAACGCAAGATGGCCGCCAGTGGCTTCACTTTGCGTTACGGCAAGTAATCGGTATTTTCAGTCTGTCTTCTGAAGCACGCTCGTATCGGATTACGTATTATCGGTTTTGTAGAATAATCTGATTTTAAATTCATCCTAAAAAAAAAAAAAAAATCCTAACATGGCTGCTGGTCCTCCATGACGTCGGCATTTTTTTTTGTCCCGACTGTTTGGTTAGCTAAACTTGTTACAGCCAGATCCAAAAAAAAAACGTCTGAAGCAGTGTGAAACTTTGCTCACATTAATACGTTCAATCATCAAATTCTCCGTTTCAAGATCACTCAGAGGTGGAAGAAATCGGGTAACCAAAGTGCGGATTCAGTGGCTTGCGAGGACTTGCTGTCGCACTGCTTGCCGTCATCCCTTGTGGCTTCGTCACTCAGCTTGCGTTCGTAACAAAGGAGGCATGCAGACGACAGATGGCTACTCTGTTTGGGTCTGGAGGCGCTCACCGCACTCCCTGATGGGTTTATTTTTTTGTGTTTTTGTTTGTTTTTTTTCGTCTGGCTCCCATCTTTTCTTGCTTCTCCGGAGACCGATCGGTTCATCTAGGTCGCGACGGTGCATGATGTCCGTTCCTTTGTTTGCGTGCCCATTATTACGGCGCACACGCGGAGCGAGGCTCCGATCGACACGGTTCCTTTATCTCGCCCGCTTTTGTGTTCTAACCCCATTTCCGAGTCATTGACGTCGTGCAACGTCCCAACTGACGCCCAAGTCGTGCCTTGCTATCGATCCGTAGAGGTAAACGAATGGTGCGTCCTACCAAGCGGTGGTAAACAATTCGAAATGTTGGATCATTCGAAAAAGCGGATGCCTCCTGTAGATATGGCAACTTTCCTTCGTATATTTTGGGGGTAGTAATGGAAGTTGTTTCATCGGTGTTGGGATTGAGCGGGAGTGGATCCCTGGGGGGGGGGAGGGACAGCAAATTTGAGTCAGAAATGGATTTGTGTCCCAAAGTGTATTTTTGACTCATTTTCAAAAATGCCTTTTGTCGAGCCCATCAGGGTTTTGAGATATTTTTCTTTTTTTTGTTTGTTTTTAAGCTTGACCTATAAAAGCTTGCGCAATATGTGGCCATCTATAGCCATGACATTTCATTTTTTTTCAATCCCACAGTAATGCTGAAACTATTAAATATGACAGAATATATGACTATATTACATATTACATGAATATTATGATGTATCATAATTAGTATTATTATGCAAACCTGATGTGGGACAGAAAAAAAAAACAAGGGCGGATCCTGAATCAACGCAAAAAGAAAAAGTCATCTCAAAGTGTTTACTTTACGACACCTCTGATTTAAAAATGTAATCGATAATTTCGCAAGAAGAATGACCGCAATAACGTGCAAAAAGTCAACCCATGGAACAAACCGTGATTTTATTTTAATTTTTTTTTCTAAGAAAACTATTTTCCTTGAAAAAAAAAAATTCTATCTACAGTATTTTAATGCAGACTGTCTCTAAATATTGTGTGCCAAAGAGAACGAACAAATCCATTTAACGGGTACTATGAAGTACCAAGTACACACTCGATTTGCTTTATTAAAAAAAGAATGTGCCAATCACTAAGTATGACAACACTAGACAACCTTTTGAACAAACCATGAATATCAATTTTAAAAAATGATTTTTCTGTTCTTTCAATTTTCAAAGTTTCCTCCTCTCTTTGAACGCCAAAAAGAGCATTTTCCTCGAGTAGCGGGGTGTCTCGAGAGCGGCGCAGCAAATAGCCGACGGCGCCGTTCTAAGAAGGATGAAAGCAAGGGCAGAGGAAGACGAGAATGAGGAGGAGGTCACACGGGGCCACCATGTTTAAGTCGCGGCATTAGCGCTCGAAGCAGGTCATTAGCGTCGAAGCGCTCGGCTCTCCCTCCCGCTCCAGCGCGGCCCGAGTGTGAACGAGGCGTGCTCGGCCACCCGTGTCCCGCTAAACATGCCTGATTAGCTCCAGTACGCTGCCGTGGTCTGACGAGCCCGAGAAAATCACCGCGGACACGTCGCCCCCCCCCCCCCCCCCCCCCCGCGCCATCGTTCGAGAAGCGCTGGTCGCACACCAGTCACGTACACGCACGGAAAGGGGCCACTTGCATGTTCGAATTTTGTTTCGACACCGAAAAGCAATCAAGAAAATAGATCCGGCAGACTGCTCTTTTCTGTGACTCTACCTGTCTCTCTCATTTTTTTGCTCCGGAAACTTTCCTTGCCAATCCTATTTTGAATGAGTCCAAAAAGAAAAAAAGGCAGTTTTGGGCATGTGCAACCTGGCGGCTAGCACTGCTCCAAATAAAGGGAAACTCAAGGCATCCATCTCAGGTCACTTTTTTTTTTGTCTCTCTGGTGTCGACTGAAATTGATGTCAAAGTGCCCTCGGGCTCGCATTACAAACGTCACATGACCAATCCCAGTAAACAAGGGAGGCGTGACGCTCGCCAGCATCTACGGTGTTTTGGTTTTAAACATAAGCGTGGCGGTGACGATCAACAGTTGGAAACGACCCCCCCAGCAGTATTGCTCACTATTTGACAAAATGCTCTTTCTTGTCAAGTGAGTACCGGTACATTTTTGCCCACAAGTCAAAGAAAAAAAACAAACAAACAAACAAAAAAAAAAAAACAAGTTGAGTTCTGCTCATGTCATAAAACTCAAACAAGTCGGGACATTCTTATCTCAAGGCGGCCACTGTGTTTGTATTTGAACGAAGACATTCAAGCGAAGCGTCCCCCTTCACGCCGCCGCTTTCCTTTTCATCCTCATCACCACCTGCCTGTTCCCTCGTATTGTGTTGTAGCCCCACAAATGCTTTTGTTGTCGCGAAAATCTCTTTTGTGTTCCCCAATTTGACAGGACACGGGCAAAGGCTGTTGTGTGCTAAATTGCTTTCCTTGTACGCCGTTGTGCACATGCACCAAAACACACATGATGGCCTTGGCCGCGCCTGTTGCTATTGATCAGCTTGTGTGTTGTTGTTGTTGTTCACGTGTAGAACCTTTAAAAAAAAAAAAAAAAAAAAAAGTGCGATGAAAATCAGTAAGTTGGTTCATGAAAACCGCTTACACAAAATCGGGTTGGAGTCAATTGATTACGTCATTTATGTTTTTGTTTTTTTTTCTCAAACTTAGCCGGTTTTCACGTAAAGACAATTCAAAAATCGAGCATTTGAAAAACTGAACAACAGACAAAAGCCCGACAGCCTCTTTTCTGAAGAAGCATTCGCACGCTGCTCAAATGTTGCTTCTTGAGAAGTGAGTTGCATTCACGGCCTTCATGCTGCGCTTGTATCTCAAATGTTTGGCTGGCAAGTCAAGGAAAAAAAAAACTCGCCACTCGTATTTCAAAGCACCACTGTATGTCTCCAAAACCAATTGAATGAGATGTAAAATCGAGTCGGCGTCAATTGATGATGTCATTGATGGGGTTTATATAAAAATATATGATATGTGTGTGTTTGAGAGAGAAAGAGAATCTGGGGTGTTGTGGGATTGTGTACATGTGAGCACGACAGGAATTCACAAACAGTCTGCATTTTTTTTAAAGTGTAAAGTTATTGTTTTTAATCGGCACTGATCCTCTTTTTTGTCATGTTTGTTTTTCCGATGCTTTGTGAAATCGCGTGGAATTTGATTGCGATTCTTCTTGATGTACGCTTCGGTGGGACAATGAAGGTGAAGACTATCAAGTTCGGGTTCGACAATGAAGTTCAATTGGGGGCGGTCACGCAGAAATGAATTTGAAAAAAAAACCAGGGGGGAGCCTTCTGTGACGCCCCGCCCCCAGCTGTCAATCCCATGACAACCGACCACGTGTACATAATTTGATTCTTTTTGTGTAATTTAAGTGCGGTAGCTGCATGTCCACACAGCCTCTGTTTGTGCGTGTGCGCGTGTACAGAGTTAGCCACGCGTGTGAATTTGTACCGTACGTTCGAGTGCGCGCTGCTCGTGTCCGCCAACGTCACACGCGCATGCGCCGTCCCGCAACTGCATTCCACACATTTGCACGACATTCCCTGACAACGCGACCCGCGAAATGACACACCACATCACCAAACAGCAAAACATGACATGACAGTACTTTACGTTACAATAGATTACACCCCATTATTTGGACACCATACTCCCTCACATTACGCGTTAAATTGCATAATACACACATTGCATAATACAATCACACTTAAATGACACTCGACGACACGACGTCGCACATGACACAACGCTGCATTACGTTACATATTACTAAATGTGACGCAACACCGCCCCACCTTACATTACAAAACAACAAACCGCACAACGCTACGCTACACTTCACGCTACATGGCAAAAATATGAAACAAGGTTTCTCTGTGTTATATTACATATCACAAAACATTACACAACACTGCACCGCATTGCATAATGCTACAAATTACCCTGGATTACATTTGAGCATACGTCACCACACTGCAAAGATAAAAAAAAAACAATAACTACAGTACAGGACATCCATGACATGCCAAACATTTGTGCGCCGTTCCCCACATCGCTCTGCCTGTCACTCCGCATGGAGATTTGACTCTTGTCAGTTTTTCTTATTCTAAATAAAACCACTCGGACATTGAGCCTTTTTTTTTGTCATCGTCAATCTTGATCAGTGTACGCAATAAACGAAGTATATGACATATTGTGGCTGTTTTCTACTGTAAATTGGCACTGTTAAGAGTAGAAGGAAAAGTTGGAAGGACAACAATATCCATTCGAGAGAAATCCCTTTAAAAGTTGTTGTAGTACCAATCTTAACCACCAGATGCCAGCACATGCCAGCGTCTGTGTTTTATTTCCTCCTGTTTATTCTCCCATTTGGATTTACCATCTAATTTTTTATTTCCTTTTTAAAACACGTGCATGAATTATTGTATATCCTTGTACTTACAGAATTTTACTTTTTTAACTTTTAAGCTTAGTCAAATCAATTCAAGCCGTCTTTCCGAATCCAAGCAGGATTGAAGCGCTAATGTGGTTGTGGTGCTGCAGATGAAAATGAAATTAAAGAGGAAATTGATTTGAGATTGACTTGAAGTCGCCGTGGGGATTTGCGGAAGAGATGTCAAGATGTCGTCGTGTGGGGAAAACGTCCAGCTGGCGCTTCAACACCAGGATCAGAGTCCCAGCTGCAGCTCCACACGTTGCCACTGGATGGCAGAAGAATCCGACTAAACACTTGCTCAAGGACCAGCGACCACGACACCGCTCCTCTGTCAGTTAAGTTAATCAAATCAACATGAAGGGATGGATGCGAGGTGTTTTGCACAAATGTTATGTTTATTTATATGTGATGTTGATGTGTGATTGGTGACGGTGTAAAGTTGAAAAAGTGCATAAAAAGAAATTGAATTTGATAACTGAGAATTGGAAGTGGTACATTTGGCGAAGTTGAATTCTACTGTTGAGGGCTTCATACCTGAGTGTGGTAGTTTCCTGTTTGGTATGCCCTCCATTGGCCAAATATGGCTACTGCACCTAACACGTATGCGCTCCTAGCAAGGGTCAAGGGTTAAAATAAAGTAAGATGGCCGCCTCACTGCCGGAAATTTGAGTGAAGGGCAAGTCAAAAATGCGTGTGTGTCGAAATAAGGTTTCAACAAAGCATAATTTTAACGCAATATTGATGTTTTTGGACTCCTTTTAACAAAGCATAATTTTAATGCAGTGTTGACATTTTTGGACTATTTTCAAGCTGGATAGATCTGTCGAGTTCGTCTATTATCAACTCATCAAGCCAAGCAGCATCCATGACCCGGTTGCACACGTCCTCGCCTAAACCACCAGATGGTGAGTGAATGCACGTCAATCCGAATCTGCGTTTGAATTTATCACACTAAAACATTGGAATCCTGGAAAAATGGCACAAAAGGCTTGTGATAAGAGATGCTGGCTTTTGGGTGGATAATGTGGCTATTCTGTGCCATTTTGCTAAAATGGGCAGTTGTAAAGCTTCTGTGCAGAGGGGAACTGGTCAGCCACAAAAGGAAATTTGTGTTCAGATTAAAATTCACACAGTTTAGCTCATATTTGTATTTTTTGCATCACTAATGAGTCCGAGACATTTGCAATAAATCGCTTTTGCTTTTTTTTGAAGTATTAAAGGCTGCAGATCATTTCAATCAATGGAAGTGTTGTAAATTCGTTTTCCCCCTTTTTTGTGGCATTATTAAATTAACAGTTGAACTTGATTCTGGCGTCATATTGTGTTGATG